TCTCACTCTGTTGCCCAGGCTGATCTCAAACTTCTGGGGTCAAGCGATCCTGCCACGTTGGCCTCCCAGAGTGCTGGGATTTGAGGCTTGAGCTGCCGCACCCTGCCGAACCTGTTTCCTTAAAGGGCCAGATCTTTTAGGCTTTGCGGCTATATGATTTTTGTTGTAACTCTTTGACTCTACTGTTGTAGCATGAGAGCAGCCATAGACAGTATAAACCAATTAGGGGCCGGGCATATTGGCTCACGCCTGCAATCCCAACTTTTTGGGAGGCTGAGGTGGATGGGTCACCTGAGGTCAGGAGTTCAAGACCAGCCTGGTCAACATGGTGAAACCGCATCTCTACAAAAATACAAAAATTAGCTGGGCGTGGTGGTGGGTGCCTATAATCCCAGCTTCTCAGGAGACAGGCAGGAGAATCGCTTGAACCCAGGAGGCGAAGGTTGCAGGGAGCTGAGATCATGGCACTACACTTCAGCCTGGGTGACAGAGTAAGACTTCATCTAGAAAAAATAAAAAATAAACTAATTAGGGTTGCTGTCTTCCAGTAAAACTGTTTCTAAAAACAGGCTATAGGCCAGATTTGGCCTGTGAGCTGTAGTTTTTAGACCCTTGCTTTAGAATACTTCACTAAATACTTGACCCTTTTTCTCCATTATACAAAATACTGATAGTGTTTTATTGCTGTCATGTATGCAGGGATGGTTTAAGTTTGAGCATTAATGAAAGGATGAGGAAGAATGTGTGATGTTACATATCATTTTCTGTTCCACAGAAATAAGTTTTCAAATGTTCTGTTCATGCCTTCCCATCACTTTCATTGTTTATACCAGTTGCTGTGCTTTCATTTTTTTCTAGTTATACTACAACTATATTATGATCTGGCCCCTGTTTCAAAAATTATATTGTACTAGATACCAAATAGAAAAATATATTTGTTTTTGAAGGAAAACTGGGTCTTCTGCCAGTTTGAAAGTGTGTCCTTGTGAACAGATCTTGAAGGAGAGCAGCGTGCAGCCCCTTCCAAGCCTTAGTCTTTTAGGAAGCATGCTTTTCCAGTAGGCACTTTGAAAAGCAGCTTCCTCTTATGACAGACATACCCTCAAACATCAAACTTAGCATTAATCAGAGTTGGGGAAGTAGAGCTGTGTTATTTATTCTAGTATTCTAGTAGCGAAGACTAAGACTATTTAGTAAGCTGCCGGTAAATATGACCAGCTGGTACCCAGCTGTGTGAGGGTTTAGAACGTAAGTAATAAGGTTTCAGGCACTAAACTTAGTCCTTTCTTGCATGACTACATAAAAACCTTAGATGAGCTTCAATAGAGACTATTTAACCTTCTCTTCTCTCAGTCACCTTGGCTTCCTTTGTATTCATTCATCTATTACATCTTCAAATAGCGAAGTGTATGGCTTCCCCACCAAACCACCAGAGACCCCTTTGGAATGTGTTCAGTATACATCATTCCTGGAGTGGCTTGATAGAGTGACTGGCCTGTGGTCACCAGCTATTAGGCAGCAAGCAGCCAGTTCACAAACATAGGTCTTTTAATTTCCAGATCAGTGCTGTTTTTCTCCTTGTGAAATTGTCAATTTTAGATTGGTTTTATTTTGGAGAGTATAAGCCTTCTTAAGGCTTGAAATGCTTTTTAGCTATTGTGATTGATAATGGCCTAAGTCCTAAGGTCCATCTGTATAAACATAAAAACCAAATTGTCTGTTAGTAAATAAATCCTACCCCCTCTTTCCCTCGTCCATCCATTTATTTTTATTAATATTCTTCCTTTCTCTGTATCTCTCATCATCATTTAAAATGCAACATCCTACAAACCTTAGCTCATTTAAATGAAGAAACCTAGAACTAACCTCAATAAATACTTGAGCAGTACTGGAACATAAAATGCTTGCGACAGTGCTTCCACTAGGGCAAAATACAGGTACATCTTGCAGATAGTGTGAGTTTGGTTCCAGACCTCTGCAGAAAAGCTGACATCGTAATAAAGAGAGTCACACAAATTTGTTGGTTTCCCAGTGCAAATAGAAGTTATGTTTATACTATAGTATATTAAGTGTGCAACAGCATTTTGTCTAAAAAATGTGCATATCTTAATTTTAAAATACCTTACTGGTAAAAATGCTAATAATCATCTGAACCTTCAGCAAGTCATAACCTTTTGCTGCTTGAGGGTCTTGATGATGAGGGCTGCTGACTGATTAGGGTGGTAGCTGCTGAAGGTTGGGGTAGCTTTGGCAATTTCTGTGGCGTTTTTTTTTGGTTTTTTTTTTTTGTATATTTGTTTTGTTTTGTTTTTGAGATGGAGTTTCACTCCTGTTGCCCAAGCTGGAGTGCAGTGGTGCAATCTCAGCTCACTGCAGCCTCTGCCTCCTGGGTTCAAGAGATTTCTCCTGCCTCAGCCTTCCGAGTAGCTGGAATTACAGGTGCCTGCCACCATGCCTAGCTAATTTTTGTATTTTTAGTAGAGATGGGGTTTCACCATGTTGGCCAGGCTTGTCTCGAGCTCCTGACCTCAGGTGATCCACCCGCCTCGGTCTCCCAAAGTGCTGGGATTATAGGTGTGAGCCACGTTGCCTGGCTTTTAGCTTTTTTTTTTTTTTTTTTTTTTTTTGAGGCACGGTCTCACTCTGTCACCCAGGGTGGAATGCAGTGCCATGATCTTGGCTCATTGTAACCTCTGTCTCCCAGCTTCAAGCCATCCTCCTACCTAAGCCTCCCAAGTAGCTGGGACTACAGACACTTGACACTATGCTCAGCTAATTTTTATATTTTCTGTAGAGACAGGGTCTCCCTGTGTTGCCCAGACTGGTCTTCAGATCTCAAACTCCTAGACTCAAGCGATCCTCGCGCCTTGGCCTCCCAAAGTGCTGGGATAACTGGCATGAGCCACTGTGCCCGCCTGCCAATTTCTTAAAATGAGGCAGCAGTGAAGTTTGTTGTTGCTTCAGTTGACCCTTCCTTTCATGAAAGATTTCTCTGTAGCATACTTTTCTGTTTTATAGCATATTATCCAGAGTAGAACTTCTTTCAAATTTGGAGTTTGTCCTCTCAGATCCTGCCACTATTTTATGAACTAAGTTTATATAATATTCTAATGTTCATAGCATTTTCACTGGGAGTAGGTTCCATTTCAAGAAACCACTTTCTTTGCTCTTCCATAAGAAGCAACTCCTTGTCTGTTAACTATTATCGTGAGACTACAGCAATTCAGTCACATTTTCAGGCTCCACTTCTAATTTGCTATTTCTACCACATCTACAGTTACTTCTTCCACTGAAGTCTCGAACCCCTCAAATCATCCAGGAGGATTGGAATCAACTTCAGACTCCTTTTAATGTTTGTATTTTGACCACTTCCCATGAATTTTGAATGTTTTGGTTTTTTTTGAGCAGGGTCTCTGTTGCATAGGCTGGAGTGCAGTAGCATGATCTGCAGTAGCTTACTGCAGCCTCGACCTCCCAGGCATAGCCTCCCAAGTAGCTGGGACTATAGGCATGTGCCACCCACCACGCCTGGCTAATGTTTGTATTTTTTTGTAGAGACAGGGTTTTGCCATGTTGCCCAGGCTGGTTTTGAACTCCTGAGCTAAAGCAATCGTCCCGCCTTGGCCTCCCAAATTGCTGGGATTATAGGCATGAGCCACTGTACCTGGCCATGAATATTCTTAATGGAATTTAAAATGATGAATCCTGTCTAGAAGGTTTTCAATTTACTTTACTCAAATATGTCTGAGGAATCCCTGTCTATGGCAGCTATAGCCTTATGAATTAAGTGTTTTTATGTTTGAGACAGAGTCTCACGTTGTCATCCAGGCTGGAGTGCAGTGGTGTGATCTCGGCTCACTGTAGCCTCATGCCTCAGCCTCCAGAGTAGCTGGGACTGCGGGCATGCACCACGAAGTCCCGCTAATTTTTGTATTTTTAGTAGAGATGAGGTTTCATCATTTTGGCCAGGCTGGCATCGAACTCCTAACATCAGGTGATCCACCCGCCTCTGCCTCCCAGAATGCTGGGATTACAGGCATGAGCCACTGCCGTGTATTTCTTGAATAAGAAATTTCGACTTGAATGTTGAAATTACTCTTTGATCCATGAGCTGCAGAATGGATATTGTGTTAGTAGATATTAAAATATTAATCTCAGCCCAGCATGGTGGCGCACGCCTGTAATCCCAGCACTTTGGGAGGCTCAGGCGTGCAGATAACTTGAGGTCAGGAGTTTGAGACCACCTTGGCCAACATGGTGAAACACTGTCTCTACTAAAATTACAAAAATTAGCTGGGCGTGGTGGCATGTATCTGTCATACCGGCTACTCGGGAGACTGAGGCACGAGAATTGCTTGAACCCAGGAGGCAGAGGTTGCAGTGAGCCAAGATGGTGCCAGTGCACTCCAACCTGGGTGACAGAGCAAGAATGTCTCAAAATAAAAAAGAAAAACTATGATGGAGATGTGCAAGGAGGTTAATGTTTTTTGTTTTGTTTGTTTGTTTTTTGAGACAGAATCTTGCTCTGGTGCCCAGGCTGGAGTGCGGTGGTGCAATCTGGCTCACTGGGTTCAAGTAGTTTTCCTGCCTCAGCCTCCTGAATAGCTGGGATTACAGGTGCCCGCCACCATGCCTGGCTAATTTTTGTATTTTTAGTAGAGACGGGGTTTCGCCATGTTGCCCAGGCTGGTCTCAAACTCCTGACCTCAGGTGATCTGCCTACCTTGGCTCCCAAAGTGCTCGGATTGCAGGTGTGAGCCACTGCACCCAGCCTCCATCAGAGTTTTTGATGACCGAGTATATTGTTAGTGAGCAGTAATATTTTGAAAGGAATCTTTTTTTTTTCTGAGCAATAGGTCTGAACAATAGTCAACCATGCTGTAAACAGATGTGCTATCATCCCAGCTTTGTTCTATTTATAGAGCACAGGCAGAGTAGATTTAGTATAATTCTTAAGGGCCCTAGGGCTTCTGGAATGGTAAATGACCACTGGCTTCCACAGTATTGGCTTCTCCTCTGTAGCTATAAAAATCCTTGATGGCATCTTCCAGTAAAAGTCCATTTTATTTACATTGAAATTGTTTAATGTAGCCAGTTGCGTCAGTTATCCCAGCTAGATATTCAGGATGACTTGCTGCAGCTTCTACCTTAGCACTTGCTGTTTTGCCTTATACTTTTATGTTATGGAGATGGCTTCTTTTCTTAAACCTCATGAACCAACCCTTGCTAGCTTTCAACTTTTCTTCTGTAGCCTTCTCACCTCTCTCAGCCTTCATAGAATTGAGGAGAGTTGGGGCATTGCCCTGGATTAGGCTTTGGCTTAAACGAATGTTGTGGTTGGTTTGATCTTCTATCTAGACCTCTGCAACTTTCTTCCTATTGGCAATAAAGCTGTTTGCTTTCTTATCATTTGTGTATTCACTGGAGGAGCACTTTTAATTTCCTTCAAGAACTTTTTCTTTATAGTCACACCTTGGCTGTTTGGTGTAAGAGGCCTAGTTCTTGGTCCATCTCAGCCTTTTTTTTTTTGAGATGGAGTCTTGCTCTGTTGCCCAGGCTGGAGTGTAATGATGCGATCTTGGCTCACTGCAACCTCTGCCTCCTGGGTTCAAGTGATTCTCCTGCCTCAGCCTCTTGAGTAGCTGGGATAACAGGTGCCTGCCACCATGCCTGGCTAATTTTTTGTATTTTTAGTAGAGATGGGGTTTCGAGATGGGGTTTCACCATGTTGTCCAGGCTGGTCTCGACCTCCTAACCTCAGGTGGTCCACCTGCCTTGGCCTCCCAAAGTGCTGGGATTACAGGCGTGAGCCACCACTCCTGGCCCTGGCCTTTATTTTTCTCAATCTTTCTTAAATGTATGTATAGCTCATACTTATTTCAGTGTTTAATATTAGAAGTGTCTTGATCTTTATTTAGAAGTTTGGTGATGTTTTTGTGACCAGAAATATGCCATAGGAACTAACTCTTATTTATATCAATTAGCCTTTGCTAAAATTGTTTTTTTTCTATGTTTGGCTTAAGTTGCAATTTCCAGGAGCGTATCGAAGACATTAAGGGAGGACTTACTCTTCTTTAATTGGAAGCAGCATTGGTCAAGAATTGAGTTTCATTTTAGGGGAGCTTCCTGTGGTCTCTTCCCCTTGAACAGTTGTTATGATGTTAGGTTTTCGGGTATTATCTCCCAACAACATCTGTTTGGTTTTAGTTACCTCAAAGGGCTGTATCGTGGGTTTAGGCTTGTATAATGAAGAGTTTAGTATAGAGAATGAAGTACATGCCAAGGAATAGAGAGCTGAACTGAAGTCTAAAGGTACTGAGTTTCAGAAACCAGGTCATATTGCAATAAAACCTTAGATTTCTTTTTATTTACGAGGTTGATAATTTTGATACATCCTGTTGTTCCATGCCCAGGCATATCACTAAGGGAAGATTTGGCAGGCATGGTACCTGGTTGAGAACAAGAGCTTGAAAGATTTCCAAGACAATTTTAAAACAGGAGCACTCTGATTTTGGGATGTTTTGAAAACTTCTGAGGTCTCTTTAAGAATGATAAAGAGTAACTAGATATAAGAGTAACAGCTAGATTGCCCACTCTTGAGTGGTCTGATTAAATCGTCTCACTCCTGCATGATTTTCTCCTTATCTTCTTGCTAATGGATGTCCAGGCAGAGGTATTTATCCTCCTCCTACTTACCCATTGTCATTAATATTTCAGACTTTGCTAATCTATCCTGGTCACTTTTCTGAAGAGGTTCTGACTTTCAAAAGATTTACACTTGGGAATGGTACGCGCCCACATTTCCAGCCTTTAAGTCTACCTTGAAGCTTCCAGGACTGCCTTAGATGTTTGTGTGTGTCCTTTCTGTCATCCCCTTTTATTTTAAATTCACTTCAGTAAGTCAGTTTCAGGCAGATTTCTGATTGTAGTCCTTGCTCTAACATCCCGGAGCTCATTTATTCTAAGCTTACTGGAATAGCTTGTATAACCATTTCCTCTGGTTCTTCAGGCAATTCCAATAAGTATTTCAGGGTCAAGCTTTCCAAGATTCACTTTTTTTCTCAGAAAAGCCAAACCCAGCAACTGTCTTGTCCCTCCAGTTAGGGGTAGTTATCAGACTGTGCTAGATACTGTGAGGGATCCATGATGAATCATATGCAGATCCTACCCTCAAGGAGCTTGTATATCAGGAGGGGAAATAAGACATACACACTGATGTGTATGTCTTACAAGGTATCCTACAATGATTGTACAGGGTAATATGGTGAGAACAGAAAGAGAGGTGCAGATCAGGGGCTCCTTAAGGCTCCCAAGAAGGAGGGATCAGTTCCATAAAGCAGGAGTGAAAACTTCTGGAGAGATAGCAACTGCGTTGAGTGCCTGTAGTCCCAGCTACTTGGGAGGCTGAAGTAGGAGGATTGCTTGAGCCCAGGAAGTAGAGGCTGCAGTGAGCCAAGATCGTGCCACTGCACTCCAGCCTGGGCAACAGAGCAAAACTCTGGGACAGGCTTTGCAGAGAAAGAGTGTGGAGATCCACCTTTCTCAGCCTCCTGAGTAGCTAAGACTTACAGGTATGTGGCCACAATGCCTATTTAAAAAAATTTTTTTTTCTTCTTTTTTGAGATGGAGTCTTGAAGCTCTGCTGCCCAGGCTGGTATGCAGTGGCATTATCTTGGCTCACTGCAACTTCCTCCTCCCAGGTTGAAGTGATCCTGTTGCCTCAGCCTCCCAAGTAGCTGGGTTTATAAGCATGTACCACCACGCTCGGCTAATTTATTTTGTATTGTATTTTTAATAGAAATGAGATTTTACCATATTAGCCAGGCTGGTCTTGAACTCCTGACCTCAAGTGATCCACCACCTCAGCCTCCCAAAGTGCTGGGATTACAAGCATGAGCTATAGCCCCCGGCCTAAAATGTTTTGGAAACAGAGTATCACTGTGTTGCCCAGGCTAGTCTCAAACCACTGGCCTGAAGTGATTCTCCTGTCTCAGCCTTCAGACTTGTTGAGATTACACACATAAGCCACAGCAGTCAGCCTCCTCTTATTTTTAAATACACTCTTTCCCTTGTTATCTTGGAAGATGAACCCAGCACATTTTCCATAGGCTTGTAGATGTTGTAAATGGACTACTTCTGTAGCAAAATCAAATTTGCAATTAATGCATTAAAATAAGAGGTGGTGATTAGCTAAGGTTGCTTTATTATTTTTTTCTTTTTCTTTTTTTTTTTTTTTAAGACAGAGTCTCGCTTTGTGGCTCAGGCTGGAGTGCAGTGGCGTGATCTTGGCTCACTGCAACCTCTGCCTCCTGGATTCAAGCAATTCTCCTGCCTCGACCTCCTGAGTAGCTGTGCTACTATACCCAGCTAATTTTTGTATTTTTAGTAGAGACGGGGTTTCACCATGTTGGCCAGGCTGGTTTCAAACTCCTGACCTCAGATAATCAACCTGCCTTGGCCTCCCAAAGTGTTGGTATTATAGGCATGGAACCACTGTGCCTGGCCTGCTTTATATATATATTTTTAATTATTAGGGTGTTTTTAAAGCTTCATGCAAAGAATGGATCTGCTTTAGGGAAAGCCTTTTGAATAAAACTACTCACCTTTTCCAGGAATTTACGTTAACAATTTATATTCTTCTAAGAGATATTACTAATAATATCTGCAAAGATGCTAGAAAACATGCTCCAAACCTTTTTCTCTTTTCCCTGTGAGAAGATCTTGTGTCCTTCAAAGGAAGAGTACCTTTGTCTTTTGAAGTCAGAAATTTATAAAAAGAGTTTGCTGGATGGAAAAATCATAAAGACCATAACTCTAAAACCTAATGTAAAGAAGAACAGTTAGAGCTGTCCAAAGATGGGAAAGAATGTCTTACCAATAAGCCAGTTTCCCGGAACTAGAGTGGGAGGCACTCAAATGTAAGCACTCAAATGGGGTTGGGCAGAGGTTGAAGAAAAGCTGTGAGCATCTTATAAAGAGGTGGACCTGAGTGTTTCATTATGTCTTTTTTTTTTTTTTTCAGTCCTAAAGTTCTGTGATACAGTAAAATATAAAGGATATTATCGACTTGTATTTTTTGCTTTTATCTGTTTGGGGTTTCCTAATGTAGATGGGCTTCTTAATTTCAAAACTTAACCTTTAGTACATTTTCAGTTCAAAAAAAATTTGATAACTTCTCTTTTGTACTTAACTTCCACTACCACAGTACGTGGCTCCGAGCCAGCCAAAGATCATGATCTGTTGACTACACAGATGTTTGGGGGCTGATCATGCCTGCACATCCATAGTTGGGATAGTTCAAAATTTAAAAGCAAACTGCACAGATGGTTCTAGAACTGCTTTTTGAATTGTGTACCTTTGTAATGTTTTGGGGGGATATCAGAGAACAGCCAGAACTTGTTACAAGACTTTTAAATTGTGCAGATCTTTGTACTCCAGCTGAACCTCCCCATCCATTAGCAAGTATACAGAGATATCGTCCTCACAGTTGCGGATCTTTCTCCTTTGACCTTAGCAATTTGCATGGCAGATTGTGCCAAGATGAGGCTTGTCCATGGACCCATACAATAAAAGGTTAGATTCTTTTAAAGTTTCTTGATAATTATTTTTATTTCCAGAAAGATATTTTTGTTTGCCCCATTTGAAAAAGGTTAAATTGAGTCACTCACTTCATTGTCTTGAGTACCTTGTAGGAAACTATTAATAATGATAAATAACTAAACTTCTCTAGATTATCTTAATTTTGTTGTTGTTGTTGTTCTCAATACAGCTAAGAGTACCATATAGGACTTGTGTATTGATGATAAGTGAAAATACAGGGGTCTTACTTGGTTATTTAGGAGTTAAGATTTTATCTAGTCATTTTCCACTGTGATTGAACACTTCCCTTTAACTCCCTTCAGAAACTCCAAGATCATATTGCATCCCAGGTACTAGAATTTCTGTTGATGTATAGAGCTGTTTATAGGCCTCTAGCACCAGAAATTGGCTCCAAACCTTTTCCCATTA